CCCTACACATTGCACCACTCACACACACCACTGCTCCTGTGCCCTACTACAGCCCCATTTCCCAGCAGATCTCAGGTAAGTTGTCAAACTGTTTTTAAACAGTTTGACTACTTACTCTGGGAGAGGGTCCCGGCACTATTAACACCATAACCACTACACTGTGGTTATTGTGTCTGGATTATTTCTTTAAATAATCTACAAATGCCCCTCCCGAGATCAGGCTCTGGATCCGCTACTGGCTGGGCTTCTATTAAATCAGTATTTTGTTGTTTAGTTGTATGTTTTTCTTGCTTTTCATGCTTTGGAAATCCTGTCCTTTGTTTTTTGTTTTTTTTTATAAATTGTTGTCCTTTGTTTTAAATTAAAAATATAACACAGATTATTCCAAAACACAAGAAAGAACATCCTTTTAAGAAATAAAAGTGACCTCTGGAAGAAGACATGCTCCCCATGAAACACCATTGTTTTCTCTTTAAAAGTGACTAAAATCCTCTTGACACTTCAGATTCCTTTTACTTCATGTGACTAGAAGCTGGAAGTTCTCCAGGCTATGTTATCAGCTGAATAACACATGTTGAGATGGGATGCTAGGTTTCCCTTTTTTTATTGTGAGGGAGGCTTAGCTTTTAGAATACACAAATACATTGCATCATTCTTTCCTAATAGAACACATTACTCTAATAAGAATCAACTACCATGTTTATAGATCAGTGACCTTCACTGAAAATAACCAAATGTGAGATTATATTGTTAACTGTGAAGCAATCATTCAGATCTGAGGAGGTACTGGGGCCACTAGTGCAGTAATGTTTACACAAAGTGCTGATATGAAAGCATTTTTGTCAGATGCAGGAAATGGTTCCTTGAGATAGGCTGTCCTATCAGGAATCCATATCGCTCAGAATTGAATGATTATTCTTCATTGTTTTAATGGGTCCAGCCCAGGTCAAGACAGAATGATAAGAAAAGGTGAGGTAAGCTAAAGGCAGGCAGGTGAATGATTTATGGGATTTGCCTCTATACCAGACATGTGCATTTGTTGCATTCGACTCTAAACAAATTGATTCGTCCGAAACAACCCTTTTGATTCATTTTAAAACAAATGTATTTGTTCAGCTGTGGACCAGCTGGTACAAAAAAAATCAAAAAATCTGAGTTAAGATTACAACAAACAAAACACAAGAAGCAGGAACCCCGTCTTCATGAAGACATTTTGATAACATTTTAGAGGAAACTAAACTTGTAGACGAGTACGTCTATCACGGGATTATACTTCAGGTGGGTATGGTGTTTAAACAACAGGAGGATTTCCTTGTGGAAACTGTCAAGGAAGCCTTTTACTGCGGCAATTTATTTATTGAGACAATTCTTTTCTATGGGGAGGGCCTAATACGCTTGTCCCTCACGCCCCCCATTGACCAAATGCCGAGGTAGATCGTCACTGGAATTAGGTGCCAATGCAGAGCACTTTAAGGGCCTTTTGTCATAAACAGTTCATGCCTGCTTTACAAACTGCTCTATACCATGTTTTAGTGGTTTTCTATTGTACCCCCGGGAAGCAGGATAGCAATGAAATAATAGTGATAGTAAGACTGGACTGCCAAATCTTCTTTAGGGCTACCTAATAAATAGTTGACTTAGGGCCACCAATGGTACTTATTTGGGAATTATAAGCTGGTCATCATTGGACTGGGACAGTTATGAGGTTTGCTTAGGTGATACCCCTTGTGCATGATATACAAATAAACAGGGGACAATATTAAGAAATAAACTATTCCTAAAAATAAATATGCCCCTAAAGTCATGAAAATAGCTTTGATAATAGGGGTGAGAGTCATAACTTTTTTGGCCAATATTGGCCCATCATATATATTTTCAAATTCGATTTTTAAGAATTATATCCAATGTGTATACTGAGGTATATTTATTATACAAAACATATAACAAACTCTCAGAACAACGTATTTCAGCTTTCCATGCTAAATAGGATTTATGTCTAATTACATAACATTACAACATTATTCGTTCACACTTGTCCTAAACAGAACATGCTGCAAGCACATTTGTGCGCATTCTGTGTGATAGGATGGATAACAAATCATCTCTCATTAAGAATAGATTGCACAGATCTTAGTTAAGCCGTTAATTATTCTACCCATGTTCTCCATTCCCCAGCTGCTCTAATTAGCTGAATGTTCTGAGATCCAGCCAATCGTTCGTGCAGCAGTAGGATTTATTGGGAAGGCTTTTGCATGACAGTATTTGTAGAAAGTAACCTTTTAATGGCTAAAAGGATTTAGTTTACTTCCTATATGGCACTCTACCAAAAAAATAGCCCCCACCCCTTATCCTAATAAAGTCAAATAGTGTTGTTTCAGGCCTTGAATGTACATACAACTAATATTTTGTTCTAGACCAGGCATAGGCAACCTTCAGCACTCCAGATGTTTTGGACTACACCTTCCATGATGCTTTGCCAGCATTATGGATGTAAGAGCATTATGGAGGATGTAGTCCACAACATCTGGAGTGCCGAAGGTTGCCTATCCCTGATCTAGACTGTCCTTCAGTCAAATTCATCCACATTTAAAACCTCCTTTGGTACAAACATGTGTAAACAGAGCATTTCATTACGATGTGCGTACAGGGAATTTTATATTAAATAGGCAGATATTGAAAATCTATTAGTAACGGACATGTGTTTATCAAAGAAACTAAAATAAACATTGATATCTTTAACATAGGTACTTTGAGGAAACTCCAACTAAACTTTACATAAAAGGTTACTCCAACCCTTTCTTCACTGGTCCACCCCCTCCACCCCCCATACATCCTCCTCCCCCCAATTTTGCACAGAAATGGCAAAGGTTCGGAACTTTGTTCTGGGCTGGCTAATAATTCTCTTAAAAGTGGACTTATACCTCTGGCAGCTGAGGGGTTAATCTCTGTATGTGCAGGACTTCACAGCACATGCAAATTCCAGGCACCATGGCCTCTTCAAATCACTAAAGTGGTCATGGCATTGGGAGTAACCCTATAAACAAGGCACACGTTAGCAAGTTTTACTCTAGTGATAGCTCAGTGTATATAAAGGAGTTGTCTATGATTATTATCTTTAACCTGATAATGGAAACAAGTTAATTGAGGTACATTATGGGAGTGCACTTTGGCTTTTCATTAGTGAGTCACCTCACATACACCTATGGTACACTCACTGGTTTCCCAGCAGTAACATGCACAACCTTTTGAAGCAGAATTAACCCCTCAAGGACACATGACATGTGTGACATGTCATGATTCCCTTTTATTCCAGAAGTTTGGTACTTAAGGGGTTTAAAAAAAAACCTTTGTCACTGGAAAGAAATTTTTTATGAGGCTATTAAATGCAGGGTTTACAGAGAGGTGATGGCAAGTCTAGGCAGGTACTCTAGTTCACAAATGGAAAGACCAGTCCTGCTTTTTGAGTAATGAATTTGTATAATGGATCTGTTTCCAATGAGAGGAATAGGAAGGAACAGTAAAAGTAAAAATGTTTAGCTTCTAAAAAAACATTACTAATTATTTGGAGTACAAAAAGCCCAAGAGTGCCCCTTGTTAAATGATACATTAAATAAGAATGGTTTTCTTTGCATAAAGTCATACTTTAAAAAGTACCAAAGTTGATACTGTGCTCAGTTTGTGTAATGCTAACAAATGGCCCTAATGGTAAGCTACCTGCTAAGCAATTATTGGTCACAAAGGTTGCAGTCCTGGGCAAAAAAGGGGGCAAATCATGAATACAAAAAGAGCTATGATTGATAAATGCTGGTCCCTTTTGAATTGCCTTAAGACAGAGCTAATCAGGGAACATGTGAAGCTATATACTGAGGTGTTCTGCCTTGCCCTATAGGCCCAGTAATTTGATTATAAGTGTAGATCCTTTGACATACCTCCCAAGTATTTAGGAGGTACAGTCAACATTTTGGGCCCAAATCCCTCTGTCCCTCTTTTCTATCCTAATGTCCCTCTTTTCTAGGAGTTCCATATTGTTGGTGCGTCTGAGTGTATTACAGAGCTCCATGACAATAATACTCCCAGTAATGTGTTTTTAAAATACAATAAATGTGTTTAGAACTCAATCTGTATAATTAAGATACATTGTTCTTGTTCTAGAATACATTTTAATTGTTTAAATTGTTGGTAGTAAGTCACCTAAACATTCTCTGACTAATTCCCCATTCACATCCCAAGAGAAACATGTTTCAAAGCATTGTGTTGGGAGGTATGATGCGAGGTACACCTGGCAGAATAGCTTATGTCAATAGACACACACTGCTAAGGTTACTGCAATGCTGGACATGCAAGTGCAACTTCATATCTATTCAGAATGACGCAAAACAATATATTATTGATTTCTTTATAGCAGGAGGGAACGATATAGTGAATTCATATTACAAAACAAGGCTTTCACCTGAGTTATGGTGAACTAAAAAACATATTTCATGTGGTAGTTTTGTTTCAGCTATTTTGACTATTCACATCCAATTCACTGCTTAGTGAATGAACCCTAAAGTAAGTTTTGTTTTTTTGCCTGGAAACCTGCACTACAATAGTGTCTTTATTCTCTAAACTGTGAATTTGGATTCAAGTGACAAAACATAGAGTACAACAGCAGTGCTGGAACAAAATTTCCAACATACCTGTTTTATTTGTTTTACTTTTTAATATAATGCTACAAATTCTCCCTTCATTCTGCTATTTAAAGGTAAACTTCGCACAATTTAGAATTCAATGGAAAAATAGTAATTACACAATCACA